TGTATATATACCATATTTGTGTGTGCTTAATCAAACCTTGTTAAACATTTGTATAAACATCTAATTACAAAACACCAGCAGTTACTCTAGAAGGTGTTGTATTCAGCAGTTGTTTTCGCTTTAAACGGCACGAGGGGGGATTACATTCAGCTGATAAGTGATGTTAGACTGTTGCTTTAAAACAGACCATCCTGGACCTGAGGAAGGAAGGACGCAGCTCCATCTCTATCTGGATTATCCTGGGAAGCTCACTGGGAGGCCTGCTGCTGCTTTGCTTTGTCGTCTTGGTCTTATGGAAGGTAAACGATAAATATTATAAACACAAGTTATGAGGTCTTTTTTTTCCTAGCATTTTATTCTCATTTCACTGTCACCAGAACAGAGCAATGAAATTCACTCTGCATTTAACCCATCCCCTTGGGCATTAGTGGGCTGCCATTGTGTGGCGCCCGGGGAACAGTGTGGGGTTAAGCGTCTTGCTCAGGGATCCAGAGTGGCAGGCTGTGGGAGTGGGGCTCAAACCCAGAACCTCTGGATTCCAAGCTCTATGCTCTGACCGCTAGGCCACCACTCCCCCATCATGTTATGTTAAAAGTACATTGCTGTCTTGGGCAAACACACTGACATCTAACCACAATTTCTTTTAGCTTGGATTCTTCAAAAGACAGAGACGTGAGGAAGAGGAGGAGCAGCCTGCGACCAATGGGAAGGCAGAGAAGCAGCTATAAGGCATGATGTCATTACACCTGATCAAATTTTAGACATTAGGTCAACCGGTGACTGACAATCCTAGAGGTTCCATCCAGCTCTGACTCAAAGCCACACAGTTAAGATTCTGCTGCAGCTGAAGAAAATAGCAGAACTATTTATGTAGCAGGACCTTCGGCTGCGTTTGGTATTAGCTGTATTTATTTCAACAGCAAATGCACTATTCTTATTTTTTATTGTCTGACAAAATCATGGTCCACCTCGACCAAAATAACCACCAAATCAATCGATGTTTGGGTGTCTTTGTTAGCATGGTTTCCATGGCGATGCACATACAGTCATACAAATGAATGTCCCATGCAGCCTTTTTCAAATGTAAATGCATTTTCCTGATGAGCTATTTCTAGCAGGAGTCATTTTGACCCCATCCTCTGCACATCACAAATTCATCTCTGTTAGCAGGATGCAGATTGATCTGATTCAACTTTTGATTGAATATTAGATGGATGTCAGTACCTCTCAGCTAAAAAAAATCAATCCACTGGACTTTGTTTCCCAGTTTGAAGACGTTTCTCTCCGCATCCAGGAAGCTTTTTTAATTCAAAATGTCAGCAGGACGGAATCAACTCAACAAAACCTACAATGCAGCGATA